CGCAGAGCTTGGGTCTTTCTCGGAAGATGAAGTAAATCTCATCTTCTTTGGGGGATTGCTTGGAAGAGATTGTGCCTTTGAAACTACAGTGTCCTTGCCTTGACCTTTTGATGCCTGAGAATCCTTACTTTGAGATTTCGAAACCATGCTTACAGAGAAATACAAACTGCAAGAAAAACAACGACGTTAGGTAAAATATAGACGTAAAATGAAAGTTCTGACGACAGACAAAAAACATAACCGTCGTGCAAATCAACAGAAACGTGGATGTGTTAATACGACGTAGTCATTAACTTAACACGACGATCATTAAATAAGACCGTTGTTATATTATAAATTATAAAAAACCAGCCCAGTGTTCTCTCTCCCATGTTCTTCCAACAAACCAGACGACGGTTTAAATAAAACCCGTCGTCCTCACATGACCTGTGAGTGTGAACATTGAAAGATTTGGCATTTTCAAACCTGAGTCTTGTTTCAAACATCAGTGAGACTAGTTCTTTAAATAAAAAAACTTCAAATGAAGAAAAAAACTGAGTGAGAAAGTTTTCAAACATTTGCCTTGCAAAGAAAGTTTCATTCGGAATCATATTTTGGAGACGAAGACAAGGAAGAACGTAGAAGTTGAGAGGGAAACTGAGAATCAGAAACGCAGCTTTTTAAAAATGAGGAGGAAATTGAGAGAAAATTGAAAATTTTAGAGAGAACGTAAAAGCTTAGGTCAGGTGACCAAAAAAATGTATATAGTGTCCCAAGATAAATACAACGATGGTGGTCATAGAAACAGCCCTAGTATGTAGTTACGACGACATTAAAATAATATGAACCGACGTAGTTAGTAAAAAGCCTTTTGACTTTTTGTATTCTAAAAACGACGTGGTTAGTTGGGCGCTACATGTCAAAAGTTCACTTTCAAATAAGTAATATTATAAGTTACCACGTCCTTTTTTATTTATTAAATCGACGTCGTTTTCAAAAACCTCGTTGCCTTGAGTTTAATAACCGATGTTGTTTGTATGTTTTATACGTCCTCCTTTTTTCAAGAACCGACGTTGATTCCTTTATTAAACAGCGTTAGTGTTAATGTAACTGACGTGGATATGAAATTTTTTTTATAAATTGAGTTTTTTTCCAAGATTTCTTTCAGTTTCAGTTTTCAATTAGGGTTCCAACTTCTTCTTGCCCTCTGTCTCACCTCTTAGGAGGCAATTGTTTTGGATGTTGATGTGTGTGTGCGTTTGTGTATCTGAAAGACACAAACACACATACATCATCAATCTCTAAAATATTGTCTCTCTGAATGCAAATTTATGGCTGCCGTCGTCAAATTTTAGAGGTAATTGCTTGGATGTTGATGTGTGTGTGCGTTTGTGTATCTGAAAGACACAAACACACACACATCATCAACTTCCAAAAAAGTGCCTTTCTAAATGCAAACTTGTGGCTGCCGTCGTCAAATTTTAGAGGCAAATATGTGTCTTTCTGTGGTCCGATTATGATGAGGAACAGAGTTCCATCTGGTAAGATTTTGTAACTCTTGGGATCTCAAATCTGATTCTGTCGGCTGTTTTCTATATAAACCGTCATGGTTATTCTCAATTCTTGACATTAAGTTGATCTACAGACGTAGGATAACAAAATTCAAGAAATAAAAATAATAGTAAAAATTACAATTAAGACGACGGTTTAGATATAAGGTCAGACGTATAAAGTGAATAAATACGACGGCAATTTTAACTTCACAACGTATATCTTGGATCTCAGAAAAATCTATTTTGTTGGCCGTTTTCTATATAAACCGTCGTGGTTATTCTCAATTCTTGTCATTAAGTTGGTCAACCGTCATAGGATACCAAAATCCAAGAAATAAATAGTAAAAAATAATGTAATTAAGACGACCGTTTAGGTATAAGGGTAGACGTATAAAGTAAATAAATACGATTGTAATTTTAACTTCACGACGTGGTAAATTTTATTACACGTCGTTAATTGAACAAACCAACGTGGTTAGAGTTAAAGATATCGTCGTAGTATGGAACATGAAATAAGTAGATAAATTTAAATTTTACGTCGTTGTACATGTATTTAAGACGGCGGTATTTTGTAATATACCGCCATGGATTCTTTTGAAATTATGCAACACCGGATACGAAAACTTGGTCGTGGTTATTGCGGAGAAAAAACGGCGGCTGTTTATTTAAACCGTCGTCTTTACTTTCTACGTCGGTTGATTCATACCTTCTGTCGTTGTTTGTGGCTTCGAGTTTACTCTGAGGAAAACATTTTTCAGTAAGACGTCGCTTTTTAAAATAGGTGTGTCGTGTTTTAAAAACAACCATTGAATTCCCCATTTTTTAGGTGTTTAAGTACACGACGGTTTTATAAAACCGTCGTCTTTTCAAACAAAGCGACGGTTTTCCGTTAAACCGTTGTTTTTTTCTGGTCTTCTTTTTCACTTTTTGTAGTAGTGATTGAACAAACCAACGTGGTTAGAGTTAAAGATACCGTCGTAATATGCTACAAGAAATAAGTCGATAAATTTATCTTTATCGTCATTGTACATTTACTTAATACATCGGTGTTTTGTAATTTACCGCCGTGGATTCTTTTGAAATTATACAACGCCGGATACGAAAACTTGGTCGTGTTTATTACGAAGTAAAAACAGCGGCTATTTATTTACACCGTCATCTTTACTTTCTACGTCAGTGGATTCATACCTTCTGCTGTTGTTTTTTGGCTCAGAGTTTTCTCTGAGGAAAACCTTTTTCAATAAGACGTCGGTTTTTAAATTAGGTGTGTCGTTTTTTCTGAACACTCTTTGGAATCTTCATTTTTTAGTTGTTTAAGTTAATCATGCAAGGCGGTTTTATAAAACCTTCATCTTTTTAAACACAACGACGGTTTTCTGTTGAACGGTCATTTTTTTCTGGTCGTCTTTTTCACTTTTTGTAATAGTGCAAAGTTAGAACTTTAGGAAACTTGAGGGCAGTAAAGTGAAATTTACCCTATTATTTATATTTTGTGAGAGGCCCCTTCAGACATGAAATCCTGACTCTGCCACCGTATGACTGACATAGTAAACTTTTAAAAAATTGTACAAGCAGTCGGTTATCGAATACAAGAAATTCAACTCATGTGTGCATAGGGATGGCAACAGGTCGGGTAGGGGCCGTGTATACAATACCATCCCCACCACCCGTCCTTGACCCCATTAAGAGGTTCCGGGGAATCCCCGTCCCTGTACCCGTCGGATGACTATCCCCCACACCCGCCCCCGAATCCCCCATTTTTTTTTTTGTATAACCTGACCTCTCTCACTTTGAATGTCCATGTGCAAGAACTTGAAATTGAACATAAGACCAATCAAAATCAAAGTTAGGAACTTGCAGTCTAATAGGCATAATCTTTATCCTTAAACAGAATGCTGTTGTCTAATAAAAAAAGAAAGAAAACTAAATGCTAGCATTGTTGGTTTATTCATTGATGCAAATTTTCTTTGAACTAAAATTTCCATTTATATATATAAAGGTGGAATCTAAGCTACTACCAACATCAATGATAAATCACTATTACTAACAGCAACTTTTGAGCTTTAAGCAAATTACCCAAGCTGGCTAGTTAATTTATAACACTTCTCTTCTTGAAAGCAGAAACTTCAGCTCACTTAGCAACGAAAAAATTTGCAGAACTTACCTCAGATTTGGATTTGGATTTGTATGTGGATTTGAATGGCTTGGGTTTGGCGGTGCAAAGAAGATGATAGGGTAACAAAATATTATATTATATATTTATTATTTAAAAATAAACATATAAGTATCAGGCCGGGTTCGGGGACGGGGATGTCAATACCATGCCCCATACCCGATGAGGATTTTTTAAATTTGGGAATCCCCATACCCAATCCCCATTTTGCACCGAAATCTCCTCTCGTTAGGGCCAGGTACTCTTCAGATCCCTACCCCAATGGGGATTTATGTCATCCGTATGTGCGCAAAGCATGGCATATAGGCCATGTTTTTCCTTGAAATTGCACATGGTTACATAATAAATATTACAAAAACAAGGTTGGTGTAGTGGTTATTGTTTGAGGCTTCTTCATTTAGGGGTCAAGATTCAAGTGTTGCAAGTGCACGAAATCGAGGGTGGCTGGAGGTGACATGTGGCATAAGTTTATTGACTTCAGCTCATGTGTCCAAAGCATGGGCAGCCCATGTTTTTCTTGAAATTGCACATGGTTTGGAAAATGATAGTGAAAATAACAAGTAACTACTTATTTCATGTTTCATTTAAACAAAGCGGTGCATGCATTTTAGACTCCTCTTTTTTTTCGGGTCAGAATCATGCATTTTAGACTTGTACGACCTTCTCTAGATTTTTCCAGACAGTTAAGGATAAAATGAAGCATAAAAGCAAAACCCCACCATCTAAGGCAACGCGTAGGGAAAAGATGATCCTGCTTTAGTAATTTTTGAAGTTACCGATTAATCAACCACCATTGCCGAGTAATGCACCATGGATGGGCTCCATAAATTCTTATGTACATTAAAATCCATACGGGGCATTTAAAATCAATGTCTCAAGGTTTTGTAATAAAAATACCAAAACCCTTAGGGGTATCAATCAACGTAAATAACTTCAAATGAATCTAAAACATTATTTGAGAAAGATGTACATAGCCCTCTTCAACCCTAAAGCAATTGATATTAAACACAAATTGCTTCAGAAGTCAAGTTCGATACGAATGCCTCTCTTTTTTTTTTTGTCCTTCAAATTCACACAACTGAAAATCCAATTAATGCACATATTAATTGCCAGACTAGTGATAAAGAAATCCTATTCCTATTTATCTAACACCAACCCTATGCTGACAAAACAGCGGAGTAATAAATTGCTTCACTGATATATGCAAATGGGCGGCCAACTTATTTCCAAACACAATAATTTTCATACAACGTACGTCTATATAAGAATGCCAGTGGCAGCGTGCAGAAGATACAACATAAGCAAAATATTGAAGCCATAGATAGCATCGATGGGGCTTATGGTCAATATTGTGATGTCTCCCTGCGGAGAATTCTGGGGAAGGAAATGGAATTTACTAGACATAGTCACTGCAGTTGTGTTTTTCAGTCTTCATTGCCTTTGTGTGATGGCGCCGTTTCATTTCACCTGGCCTGCCTTTCGGGTGGCCTGTGCTCTCTATCTTGTGACGGGTTTAGGAGTGACTTTGTCTTTCCATAGAAATCTTGCTCACAAGAGCTTTCGTATTCCGAAATGGCTCGAGTACTTGTTTGCCTACTTCGGGGTTCTCTCACTTCAGGTATACGTTTAGCAACATATTTTTGGTACGCTTTTTAATTTTATTTTCATGGCTATATATTTTTTATTTGGTTTGTACACAGGCAGTATAATATTTGTGTTTGCTTGTTTGATTTTGCAGGGAAGTCCAATAGAATGGGTGAGCTCACACAGATATCACCACCAGTTTACTGATACTGAGAAAGATGTTCATAGCCCTCTTCAAGGTTTTTGGTTTAGTCACATGGGTTGGATCCTCGATAGTGGCTCTCGGTTTGGAAAAGTGAAAAAACAAACGCTACTCTCTCTCTTTCTAGACCAAATACATTTGCTTACCCTATAATTTTGTTCAAGTTCTAAATGGAAACTTTTGCAGTATGGAGGACTGAAGAACGTTGAAGATTTGAAAAGGCAACCCTTCTATAGGTTTCTTCATCGCACTTTTCTTCTGCATTCTGTTGTCCTACTTGGAAGTTTACTATATGTCATGGGTGGATTTCCCTTCCTGGCATGGGGACTGGTGAGATTGCTTCCTGTCTTGTTATTTTTAATTATAAACTGGCATGGAAATTATTTTTCACATTGAAGTTTTTCTTGGTCGATTTACCGGACCGATTTGATTTCCATAAAGTCATAAAACAATGCAGGAGTTCATGGCATATTTACTTATAAGTAACGAGAATAAGAAGATAGAGAATGATTTTCATTCTTGACTTCCCCTATTCACATGCACTTAAAGAACATTTAATACGTGTGACCACTTTAAAACCCTTGATCAAATACCCAAAAAACAAAGAATCAGACCAACTAGGAAAGGGTAGTTGATTCGATTCTCATTCTTTGATTCTCCTTTCCTCTTTCTTCTTATTCTCATTAATTAATTAAACATGCTTACTAAAAAGGTTGTCATAAAGATCAAAGCTGGATTACATATGTGATTCAAATTAATTATAATACCTATTAAAGTTTAACCTTGTCATTGCAGGGGGTGAGGATGGTATGCGTTTTCCATAGTACTTTGTTAGTAAATTCAGCTGGTCACATTTGGGGAAAACAAGTATATCTCACTGGTGATATGTCAAGGAACAATTGGTACATTTTGAATAAATATGGAAGTTGTGATATTATTATATGTTCTCCTTCCTGAATCCTGATTCCTGATTCCTGATTCCTGATGAGAGATATTAAATGTATATTTTTTTCAACTGTACGTGTAGGTGGTTGGGATTGTTTGCACTTGGAGAAGGATGGCACAACAATCACCATGCTTTTGATTTCTCAGCTCGACAAGGTTTTGAATGGTGGCAGATTGATGTTACTTGGTATGTGATAAGATTTTTACAAGCAATTGGATTGGCAAAAGATGTGAAAACTCCAACTGAAGCCCAGAAGCGAAGAAAAGCTCTACACAGTAAAGTCATGGCTGCTGAGAATTAGGGTTCAAAACGTTTGCCTCCTGTCCGCCAAAGACAGAAAAAAGAAGTTCAATCTGCTATGTGATGTGACAGATAAAGTTTACCATGTGGTTAATATTCAAAAACTGGTCACGCAAGAACTATTTAAAAACTTTGTGTTCGTAGTTTTGATATATAATTACTAAGTTGAATGATATTTTTACTTTTTCTTTTCGCACATCATTGAGGGCGCATATTGTTCTTTTACATTATTATATCTTAATATACAAGTTACTTCATAAAAGCCATATATATATATATATATATATATATATCCAAAACAATTAACTAGCATAATTCATATACAAAACGACAACATATAGATGATTTTCGTAAATCACGCATAATTCATCTATATATATTCAAAATATAAAACAAATTATTAGTTAAAGAAAATATTAGGGATTTTGGTAAAAATGTCGCCTGAACTTATACCTCAATTTCAATTTGTCACCTTAAAGAAAAATTTAAGAGGAATGTCAACTTAATTTTTTCAAAATCCATAATTTGCCATCTGATTTTAATACCATCATTTTTAAGGGTATTTTAGTCTTTCCATTTTCAAGGGTATTTTTAAAAATCGATAAATCATTATAAATAGTATATCTTTTAAAAAATTAAAATTGAGAAGAAAAAAAAAATTCTCACTTTCCCTTATCCTCTGTGCTCCACCGGCAGCTCTAATCAACCCCGCTCACCTTGAAATCCATTCCTCCTTTCCTCTTTACAACCCCTTCCTCCATTCCCCCTTCGCTCTTCCCATTCCCTTTCCCTCTTCCTCTTCCTCCTTCTCTCTCCCTTTTTCTTCTTATTTTTTCTTTTTGGAATTTTCCCATTTGCATATTGGAATTTGTGGAAGGACAACTACCAAACCAACAACTCGGTAGCTTATGTAACAAATGGTGACCAAACAAACTTTAGATCCTTCAACAGAAACATAGTGGCGTAAGTTAATGAAACTACGAAGACAAGAAGGATGTCGGATTTTGGGTGGGAAGCTTAAGTGGTTTCAAGTATCTGAAAATTTCATACATGCTCAACAAACACCACAAAAAAATTTATACATGCTAAGAGAAAGAGAAGGGGGGGTGGGGGAGGGGTGTCCTGTGCGATGTGTTTTGGGGGCTGGTGGGATTTTGTGTGGGGGGGGGAGAGAGAAGGGAGAGAGAAGTCTTTTTTTACTCTCTTTTTTTTTCCTTGAAAATAGAAAGACTAAAATACCTTTTAAGATTGATGAAAAATTAGATGGTGTTAAAGTTAGATGACAAATCATGTATTTTGAAAAAGCCTTTTTATCATAAATGGTTCTTTAGGTTTATGAAATTGTCATGAATGGTCCTTGAGTTTTTTTTAATGACATTAACAGTCCTTAATGTTAGGGTTTTTTTTAATCACAAATGGTCCCTGTTGTTAGAAATTCTGTTAAGTGTGACATAGAAGATAAGTAGATCCCACATATCCAATCACATTGTGACATGTGAATTAAATAAATAATTTTTTTTAACGAACGTCCTTTTTTTTTCTGCAACTTCCCATCCCCCACCCTCTACTCTGCCTCTCCCCCCTGCCCTCTCTCCACCCTATGCCCCCCTCTCTCCCACTCGGCTGCAACCAATAAAATACTCCATATCTTTAAAGTTGTGACCTATATGCATTATTTAGTTGAACAGGCGTGGAAGAAGTCATCAAGGAGAATGAGATTTTGATAGCAAATTTGCTGTTTGCAAAGGATTTTTCTTAGTAAAAAACTGTTTATTATCTGTTAATCATTTGGCCAGTGAAAAAAGGGATTTTCTGAAGATTCTTTTGCACTGAATGGCTTAATCATTTGGATCAAACAAACTTTTGATATAATTTTTCCATAAAAAAAGAGAAAGCTAATTAACTTTTGGACCGTATGTTTAAGGGAGAGGGGAGGAGAGGGGGAAAGAGAACAGAGGGAGAGGGCAGATGGAAAGAGAGAGAGGCTAGAGGGAGGAGAGAGAGGACAACTAGGGAGTGACTGTGTAGAGGGAGGGGATGGGAAGTTGCAGAAACACATGGATTTTTATTATAAAAAAAATATTTATTTATTTATTTAATCCACATGTCACGATTTGATTGGACATGTGGGTTCTAATTATCTTCCGCGTTACACTTATGGGGGCCGGTGGGGTTGGGGTGGGGGAGAAAGGGAGAGAGAGGTCTCTTTTTTCTCTCTCTTTTTTCTTTGAAAATGGAAAGACTAAAATACCCTTTAAAATTGATGAAAAATAGGATGCTACAAATCATGTATTTTGAACAATTAAGATGATATTTCTCTTAAATTTTTCTTTAAGGTGTCAAATTGAAACTGAGGTAAGATCAGGTGATATTTCTACAAAAATCACAAAATATTAAGCGTGTTGCGCCCAACACCTGAAAAAATGTCAGGTACTCATAGGTGACTAGCAGTAGTATTTTCCTTTCCATTAATATCTTGTATTTGCAATTTTTTTTAAATACAAGTCATAAACTAAATTACTCTACAATAGTCTAATAATCTACAAGAAGAGAAATTCAAACTTGGGTGCAAGAGAAACAAACTTATTGCCCTAACCACCTTACCTAACACACATCTTCCTCGAGTTGGCAAGTCGGCAACCTTATAGAAGATCCATCTGTCCTCGTATGAACTGAAGTCATCTTAGTATGTATCTTCGTTGGTTATGAATTTATGTTTCAATTATCGACCGCTGACTACACAGCTGGTTTCAAAGTGAGCCAATTTTGATTCCCATGACCAGTTTAATCTTTAATGAAATTGGTGGGGCAGTTGGACTAGCAGTTATGATTTGTCTTAATTATACCTTTGGCCCAATTTGTGAGAGATATTATGAAACCTTTGGTTATGATCATGTGCGTGTAGTTGTCTTTGACTTCTGTTCGAGACTCTGACGATGACACATTTGCCTCAAAATTACTCTACATTAGTGTGTATTTTAGTAAAACAGGTATACGATAATCCGAACACAACATGAACTTAACATCTGCATTTTGAAGGATAATTAATATGATTTTTCCCAGTAGCTAGTTAGAGAGAGGAAAGTAGTGAAGGGAAGCAATTTATTTATATAGAAATGGAAGGGAACATATGAAGAGACAGAGTTAGGGCTTTATATGTAAGAAAATATTATATTATGCTTTAATTGATTCACGTGAAAGGAAAGTACCATTCCCCAATAAGCTATCAAAAGTTGAGTCTGGTCCATTGATTTACATAGATCGCTGGGCTAACGTTGGATATATTTAGATTGTCTTTCTACACAGCATTGGGTTAGAGCCCACCCTAGCCCAAACGTGGATCTATCCTTGTTCAAAGTCTTGTGGGTAAAACTTATCTACCAATTGACAGATATCATCATTTCTAACAAATATATTCACTTCATGAGGATCCAAACCCAAACCTAGAATAAGCAACTCCATTGCTTGATCACTAAATCGGCTATTTAATTCTTGCAATTGAGAATCTATTACAGCATAAAAAATATCTACTATGTACTAATGTCTAATCACAAAAGAGACTTTTTATTTTTTTTTATTTTTTTATTTTTTTATATATACGAAAGTAACTTAATCTCTTACTCTTTCTTTTTTTTTTTAAAGAAATATACGAATTGGGCTGGCCCGAGGTGGAGTTCGGCCTGAGCACGAGGGCCCGAGGGCTGGTGATGTCATCGCTGGCATCAGCCTCTCGCTACAGTAGCCGCCAACGACTAGCTTCCACGTGTCGGGGTCTGGACTCTCCGATCTAATTTTTTCCTTCAATCCAACGGCAGTCAATATTTCTGCAATTAAAAAATTAAAAAAAATTGAATTTTTTTAAAAAAAATACCAAAAAAAAAGTAAATATTTTTGTCCTTTTACTTTCATTTATTTTTATATTACTCCATTTACTTAAGTTTACAATGTAAATAAGGAAGTACCCCCTATTTGGATTCAAATAAATACTAGAAAATTAAATTCCCACCAAATGAAAATATGAAAAATCGGTTTTAGTGCAAAATACGATTTAGGCTAAAAATGATTGCTCATTAAGTCAATATATACTTCATATTAAAATCTCATAAAATCAAGTTTTCTTATTTAATGTGTAAGGAATAAAAGCCGCCAAAAATTATCTTGAGAAAAAGATTATTCCAAAAAATCATTTTTCATACTTAGCCAATATTGCACCTCAGCTAAAAAAATTATGGGTCCGCCAGTGTCTATAAATACCAACCAATACTCTTCACTTTTAACACCAAATCCTCATACATTTTTTTTTTCTATAAATACCAACCAATACAACTAATAAAATAAAATCTTATCTGAAAATATTATCCCATATGAATAGTATTGACACGTAGGAACCCAAAAATCTTATCCAAAAATATTATCCAAATTAATTGTCTAAGTAAAAAAAGTTGTAAAAAAACAAAAAAATGAATAGTATTTGCCATGGCAAAGGGCAACTGTTGGAAACACACTTTCCTTGGGGGGCTAGGGCAGCCACTATTCACGTGAATAGTAGTTTTCCTAGGGCTCCCCTTACCATGGCAAGGGGCAAACTGCTGGAAATGCTCTTATTGTGGAAAGGCCAAGGCCACTGTAGGTTTTGGCATAGCTCCTTCATTGTTAAGAAATCATACAAGGGCTTATAATGAGTTAGGTCATTTTCTAATTGTCAATTGCTTTTGGGGTTGGAACCTCAGCTTCACTCATGGTATCATCGTCATATTCACCCACACCCACACCCACATGTTAACCCCCCCAACAGCCACACATAAATTCATAAACATATTTGGTTCATTATATGTAATTATATGAGTTCACTATATTTTTCTATAATCTTATAGATAATTAAAAATTCTCAACTGTTCCATTATACGTGGACGGATGAGATCTACACGTAACTTGCATCTCAGCCATCCATGTAATTCCTCCCACACTGAAAACAGGACATAGTATTGGCTTGGTGGCAAGGAGATGATTTTTACGCTTACTACTAGGAGACATATATAAATCAACGGTGTACAACAGGAGATCGAATTCATAAACTCATTTATGTGATCTCGACCTGACAAGGCTGCATGGTATTGATGTCTCTTTAATTCCAAGCTTCTCATATCAGTATTTTTTTGAGGAACCATCTATATCTAGCATTCATGTCAATTAGGTTTGAAAACA